ATTTTTCTGGAAAGAATCATTTTAGGTCACTATCTCCCCTCAAAATTCCAAGCACTTTGCTCTGGTCCACTTCTCTTACGGGATATTTAAAATCAGACTAATTTGGTTTGACCTCAAGGCTATGGAAAAGAGAGAGGAGATGATTGTTGAGGCCCTTTCTCAAATCATCTCATTGTCCCTTGGATTTGACCAGACTAGATATGGAAAGGAAATGAAATATAGAGCAGTTTTTGTTGATAAAAGGAATATATGCTACTCTGTCATCCTCTTCCATCTCCTGTCTTCAGCCCCCAGTTTGTTAGTGATGAGACTAGTGAATAGATCATTCTTTGTTGTGTCAGAGAGAGAAATGATTAGAACCTGAACCAAGGTAATGATAATGGAACTGGATAGAAGAGATTCCTGACGTTTTAAGGATATCGTGTAAGATTTGATGATTATATGTCCAGTGGTTAGGTGTGTGTATGTAGATCTGGAATACATGGAGCTAAAGCTGTGAGTATGGATGTAGCCACAGAAGAGGTATATAAATTGAAATATATCAGAGGGCCTAGATAGAACAAAGTGCTGGAGAATACAATTTTAAATATGGAATGGAATAAAGTGCAGCGTGAGGAATGGACAGGATAGGAAGAAAACCAGGATGGAGTGTGACAGTAGAAACACAAAAAATTTAAGGAAAACAGTAGTTAGTGTCAGATGCTTAGGTCAGATGTGATATTTTGAAAAACATGTAAAGATGACTTATGAATATTAAAGTTGAACAGGTATTCAAAGTAAGTTTTCAGAAGGTACAGACTGGTATAGTGGTAAGGTATTTAACCCTTTTGGTGTTTTCCTTTGTTATTTTCAAAGACTCTTTGAACCAAACTTCCTTTCTTCCCTTTTTTTCGAATGGTCAAGGGAATAAAAAGCTCTTGTACATTGTTAGAAGTAAGCTCCATTACAATGAAAATTACATGTAATAACAAGTTAATGCCTTGTCTTAAAAATGAAAATCTAATCTGTTTGCTTTTGGGCATCTCTGTAAGGAAGCATCTTTTAATATAAGCTAAAATAAATCAGCTTCTACTGCTCATTAAATACAGATTTGTATGATTCTCTATTAACTTGCTTTGGATTATCCAGTCCCTGAATTTTCAGTTTATATTTCTGAAATATTTTATAATATTTCAGTTTATATTATAACTTTAACAACTTTATTGGTATCTTATTTGAGCATATATATTTTTAAAATTTCTTCTTTCTACAGATTTGTTGTAATTCTGAAAGCCAGGCTTACATGGGTTCTTGCCAATTTAATAAATGACTGCTCTAGACTATCTTTTTTTTCTTAAGGCTTTTAAGACTTTATCCAAATCCCCTTAACAAATAGTTATTTATAAAATGGCATAATTTTAAAAAAAAAACTTGTATTTTATTATGTAGTATAAAATTGACTTAACATTTTAAGTCCTGAAGGCCAGCTTAAAATACCTGATTTTTTAAAAAAAGTTTTTTGAGGAATGATTTTGATTATAGACTAGGAAAATAAAAGGTGCCAGATTTTAAGTTAATTAATACTAAAATGGGAGCATGATGGATAGCAAAGTTGTTTTTTTTCTCTCAACGTCTGTTGATCAGACTTTTGTTAGGAGAATGGATAAGTAACAACAGAAATTCATCTAGCATCTGTTAGTTTAAAGTTAGGAGAAACTTAAACATAACCTTTTAAGTTGTTTCAGCGTAATGCGCTATCCTAAACCCACAGGGCCCTTTGATACCTGAAAGTAGTTTTAGTAATCTTGATTTGTATCTTTTTTGCCCTTCTCCTCCTACTTGGTTTTGAAATAAGCTATCTATGCAGATTCAAATGGTCCAGCTAAAGGGAGATGAGGAATAAGCAGTTTTATATCTGAGGACATGCGTTTGGTGCTGTAGAGGAAGGAACAGTAGAATTGAGAATTGGAGATAAAGAGCATGAATAACTTCCCTTTGTACCTCTTATCACAGTTAACAGTCAACATTTTTGGAATCAGATGAACTGACTAATGTTACTCTCCCACTGGTTAGACTGTAAGCTCTATTAAAGGTAGTAAGTAACACAGGTCTACTTTTACTTACCTGAGCCTACTGTATGCATTCAGTATTGAGTAAAGGGTTTGTGTTCAGAGACCACAGCTTACTAGCTGCATCACTTCATCAAGTTATTTAATGCCTTTTATCGTGTTTTCTTGTCCATAAAATGGGTAGAAACATGTAACCTATTTCACAGGGTTGTTGCAAGGAACAAATGAGGTAATGTTTATGAATAATAATAATGTTTATGTGTTTTATGGTTTAAAAAAATAAAAATATAAAATTATGTCAATTTAATAACTACAGCATCTAACTAAAAGCTAGATTATTTTTTTATTAACAATTTTTTTTTTGACGTACGGTATTGGGATTTACTTATTGCTCATAAGTCTACAGATCAACTGTGTTTTGATTGATGTCAGCTTGTTCATCTGGGCTTGGTTCCAGGTTGCAGGTTCCTTTCAGGCCTGCTCCACATCTTTTATTCTTTTGGAGTCAGTAAACTACTTAGGGTGTGGTCTTCTCATGCAGAAGTGCAAGAAGTAAGTGGACAAGCATATTTCCAGTCTCTGCTCATATTCCATTGATGGAAGCAAGTCACATGGCCATGCCTAGCAGCGGTGGTGAAGGGAAGTATGCTACCCTTATGGTGGGAGGGTTGGGGAGTGAATCCTTGCTGAACAGAATTCAAACCAGCACAACATTGAAGTGACTCATATGGCCTTTTCCGATTTCTACTTTGGTTAATGGTACCTTAGGGTGTCTGGCAGTCTCGGTATAGTAGTCCCTTTTATCAGCGAGGGATGTGTTTCAAGACCCCTAATGGATGCTTATAATCACAGATAGTACCGAACCCTATATATGCATATGTTTTTTGCTATATATACATGTCTAGGATAAAGTTTAATCTATAAATTAGGCACGGTAAGAGATTAACAACAATAATTAATAATAAAATAGAATTATAACAATATACTGTAATAAAGGTACATGAATGGCTTTGGGTTCATTAGGAAGTAAAATAAGCATTGCTTGAACACAAGCACTGTGATACTTGGATAGTCAGTATGGTCACTGAGATGACTACTAAGTGACTAATGGGTGGTGAGCAAAGCATATTATATACATAAAAAGCTAGATGATTATTGTAAATAGGAATCTATTTCATCTTTTTTGGTCCCAATATTTATTACCAAAGGAATTATTGTGAATGGAGAATATTGTAATTCAGAATTTTAAAGGTATAAAGAGAATAATATGACTCCCTCAGTCACTATGACCTTATATAGCTTTCCAGAGATATGTACATAAACGAGATTATAAATATTATTTTCTTGTTTTTCATGCTGTATTCATTCTTTTGCACCTTGTTATTTTCATTTTACTGTCTTAGAGATCATTTTATATCCGTACATAAAGGGCCTTCTTATTTTTTAGTTGCAGTGTTTTCATTCATTTATTCAGCCAGCATTGCCTGTCCATTATATACCTTGCAGGACATTTATTTGGTCTTGTCCAAAACATCCTTAGAAATGTCCATGCCAGCCCATCTACCTAACCCCATGCACCAATACCAGCTAGGCTATAGAGGTAAGAAGGCTTATTATTGGCAGTACAGTCACAATTATTGAACCAATAATGATGGCATTTTTTTTACATATTAATCCTATAAACCAAAAGTATAAATAAACATTAACGGGCTGTTTGAACCCATGGACCTTTTTTTGGCAGGACTAAATATCAGGCAGGGATCATTTAGCGTGAACCAAATATGCTCTTGGACGTTTTCGATAGGACCAAATTTCAAGGACCTTTTGGTGTGAACCAAACGTCTCCATGGATGTTTTGCACAGGACCAAATGTCTGCTAATCATTATGTGCCAGTACTATCTAAATACTAGGGCTGGAGCATTCAGCAAACCAGATAGAAATCCGTGACCTCATGGAACATATTTA